GTGTCATCACTGCGAGGACCACCCTGAGGACACGGTGGAACACACTGTTGCGGAATGCCCTGCGTGGGCTGAGCACCGCCGTGCCCTCAGGGAAGTGATCGGCGATGGAGACCTCTCGCGTCCGGGCCTAGTTCAGGCCATGATGCGGAGCGAGGGGGACTGGGATGCCGTCTCCTCCTTTTGCGAAGCAGTCATGCTGGCTAAGGAGGAGGCGGGACGCGTGAGGCAGCGAAGCGCTGCCTCCTCGCAACCCAGCCATCGCGAAGGACACACCGGGCGTCGGGGATCGCGGGACGATCTCCGGCCACCGTAAGCGCGGGCCTGCGGACGGCGAGCATGGGTGGCTCCCCGTCCGACCAGAAACAGACCCGAGCGTACGGCGCGTCGCGTTCCGCGCGCGCCTCAAAGAGCCATCAGACCACCACAGATGGGGCCCAATAGGGCCGATGCCGATTCGGAGTCGCGGAGAACCTAACGGGTAACCGGGGCTCCGGCTCGACGTGCAGGAGAAGGAACGGGGTGGTTTTTAGTCAGTAAGAGTCTGACACTCCCTTCCGCCTCACCCGGGCGGGAGCAGTCATTCGATGATTTTCCCCCCTTAAAAAAAAAAAAAAAAAAAGTATTTCCGGCGGGTCAGCGGCCGAGCACACGCCAAACCGGTTCAGTAATTTGGTGTTTCTGGAGAGCCATGTCGATTAATTTACGATAGACGAGCTTCCTGTCAAAAAAGATGCGACATTCAACTCCATGATATGACAACTCAACCATTAGATGTCTATCAGTTTCGTTTCATTTTACCTTTCAACGAAATTGTTAATTAGGCTAGCTTGAACGAACCTTCGCTAAGCGGTGATGTCATCTTTGAGTCAAATCTAAGCGTTTATAATAATTATAACATATCTGAAGCGTGCATTAAGTAATTTTAATATTTATGTGATTTAATTCGTGATTGGCTCACAGATACTGATGCCTATATCGTATATTTTATCTAATAGCAAGTAGGTGCGTGACTATTTATATTTGCATACATATAGTCATTACATATGTAATTTTTTTACTCTATCAATTCTAAATGCAGCCTTTTTGATAGTTTTGTCAATTAGTACTAAGTAATCCAAAGTTTTATTGGATAGTTTAAAATTAAAATTGGGGGTATTATCTATGCATAAGCAAAAGCGCCCTCTTGGTTTACCCATTAAATATTTAGAGAGCATATCGTAAGGATAATTTGCAGTTAAGTGTATTATTTCATCATTACTTTTCCTGCCACAGGAGCTAAGGAAGAAATTCCAATAGGAATAGTGGTACCTTTGCACTTATTTTTATATATGTGTTGTCCTTTATGTTATATGTGTACATAAATAATATTAATAAATAAAATTATTTTGGTCCCTACATTACATCACCGTCACTGTCACGATCGCAACTAAGTCATGACCTTCAAAATACTACCTTAAAATCTAAAAGGCTAAATATAGAGTTGGTACAAATATCTTCCAAGAAAACGTGCACTGATCACTCCCTGTGTCATTTTGCGGTTAACCAGGATTAATCATTCATTCAACATTCAAATAATTACGGGACTATTCTCAGAATTACGTTTGTTTGTTTCAAGTGTATTTAATTAAATCATACAGTAAATATCATTGCATTTATGAACATTTATTTTTCAGTAAGTATGCAAGTATTTTTTGGACGTCCAAAAACCCGATGGAAAGATGACATCTGTCTGACTTTGGGGCCATACTGGAGTAGAGTTCCACAAGACAGGGCGCAATGGAAGGAGTTGGAGGAGGCCTATGCCAAGAGGCACACCGAGCTTAGGGATATCATTTAATAAAGTAATTTATTTTTATTTTTCATTTAATCAAATAACTGTAATGATATTCATAACTGTAACTGTAATAACTGGAATAACTGTAATCACTGGAATATCGGAAATAAAGGCTATTATTATTATATTATTATTATTATGCAAGTATTAGTTAGGTTATTTAATACAATAATGACTATAGGTTTTATAAGTTTTTTTATGGAATAGACTGGTAAACGAGCACGCGGATCACTTGATGGTAAGCAATCGGCGCCGCCCATGGATACACGAAACACCAGACGAGTTACAAGTGCGTTACCGGCCTTTTGGGAATTAGGAATTTGAGGTTTGTTGGGGATTCGGGGTTTGGGGAGATTGGGGAGGGGTAATCGTATATAATTGTATATCAAATTATGTTCAAAAACCTCAAACTCAATGATGTTCTAACTTCTACACCTACTATTGTGCCTCTGCATCACTTTTACGTTGACTGTTAAAGAATGCCACTAGGTATTAAGTCCGCCATTGTATACCCATTGTGCAAAAAGTATAAAATACATAATAAATAATAATAATTGGGCCTCCGGTAACTCACTCACACGACGAAGCACAACGCAAGCGTTGCTTCACGTCGGTTTTCTATGAGGGCGTGGTATCACTCTGGTCGAGCCGGCCCATTCGTGCCGAAACATGGCTCTCCCACACTTGAAAGGTGGACATAATTATAGTTTTTTGAATAAGTTTAATATAAGTTTTTAATACTTCTTCATTATATTTAATTTGTATATATTGTGTGATATATATATGATGTTAATGTTAATTTTAATGTTAATTATTGTGTTATTGTAATAAGTGTTAAACTTTTACACCTACTATTGTGTCTCTCTGCATCACCCTAAGGTTGACTGTTAGAGAATGCCACTAGGCATTAAGTCCGCCATTGTTTACCTACAAGAAGTGTAAATAAATAAATAAATAAGTAAAAACTCTGTTTTATTTTAATAAAATACGTTTTATACCCACAGTTTTTAGTATTTGTAGTATTCCGATGTGTACCTAAATGTAGGCAGGTAAATGTCAATTTATCCTCCGCTAATTAAAGATATTGTTTCATAAACATCAGCCAGACGTGACGCATTTCAGTAGGTAGATAATGTTATTGAAAGCTTCATTTGTCCTTCATGTTCCTTAAGAACCGTATTTTTATAGACAAAATTTTAATACATTTTCCTGAAGCAATTTATTCTTATAGGGGATTATTTTAAATAAGACCCAATTAAAATTGTTTTTCTACGATATAAATAGATCTATAATATGATCATGTTAAGTAGGATCCAAGGTTTGTTTTTAGTATGAAATTATTTTTTTCATGTTAAAATACTTGATACTTAGAATACTTCAATTAATAAGTTGTCTAGACTGCAAAGCACGGCTTATTTTATTTTTTGAAACTCGAGTACTTCTTACTTTGAAAGCTAATTTCGAACATTGAGTTTTGAAGAAATAATTTATTTCAATAATTGATTGTCAAGTGAAATAAGTACCTACCTAGCTCCAGAGTCCAAGTTCCACTGAAATCAGCAGGTAGGTACCTGCTGATTTCAGTGGAACTTGGACTCTGAAGGATTGTGACGGGAAACAGTTACTCTGTATGAAACGTATGAAGGGTTTACCTATAATAATTTTGTTAATTAAGGTAGTATTAGTCTAACTACGTTTCTATACGTGAATATTTCGAATTGTATACCTCATATTCAATTGATGTAATAAGGACAAAGTTTTATCCATCTTTTTGTCTAGATTACTTATATACCTATTGTCATAGGTGAAAAGAACCGTCAACGTGTTATAAGGTAGATAATAACCGTTAAAATGGTAACTTAAATGTATAGGTACTTAGGTAAAATAAAACCCAAATTGTACTACCCTTACAAATTGAAAACATAACAAAACAAGTCCACAATAAACTCAAGAGGTCGAAAACATTTTTTACGTCGAGTTCAAAACGACACGAATGAAATTAAATTAACTTTTATAAACACAATTAAACCTTGTGATACTTTATAAAAGTGTCCGAAAACAACAGCGGCTATAATACATTGACATATTAAGTACCACTATAAAACTGCAAGGGACCACCCGGGTCATGGACCATGGTGCTTATTCCGAGAACTGTCACACCACGTGACATTCGCATTATTTTTGTACACAACATTCGTTGGCGAAAATTACCTAAATGTAAAAATTATATATTATTAGGTCGTCAACAATAAATCACTTCGAATAAAACCAGTAGTTAGAGATGAGAAAATAATTTGTTGATATAAATTAGGCGCGGTGCACGGTGGTGGCGCGTGGGCCGCGAGGTGAGAGGGAAGTGTCGCGTGCGCGTGCGCAACCTACGCTCAGCTCGTGCCGCCATTATTTTTCAACTTGTCCGTTGAAATGAAACAAAAGAAGTGTGTTTAGCACACGAAGAGTATACGAGTTGTTTTAATTAACCCTTTTTATTTGCCTTTAGTGTTACCTCTATACCTATGAATACATTTGAACATATTTATTTATTTTAATCATTTACGGGCTTCATTTCAATAAATAAATACTTCAAGAATTGAGACTAATCTAATCGAAGATATTAAACTATCACCTCAAGACATTTTATGGTATTTACTTACGTAAAGATATCCACTTAACGTTTTGTAAAACTTATTATGATTTTATTACTTCTTCGAAGATTGTTTCCCAAATTTCATTATTTTTTTTAAATCTACAAACCGTGAAAGCAGAATAAACGTGTTATTTATTCGAATATTTAATTACTCTTAAACGTTACAGTTCGGAGTTAACAATTTATTTGACACTTTAATAATTTTATTCACGCAACTCATTTGTTTTTAATTTCAAAGCGTTTTTAATATACATTTATGATTTGAAATGATACCATTTTAAACATGGAAACTATAAATAAATTGGTACTAAAATATAATTTATTACACCTTAAATAACAAAAATCTTGTGCTTATTTATTATATAGGCACTATTCTAGACACTAGGAATAGGCCTAGATTTCCTTATCACACGTATAATATACGTAAATAAGAACACATTATAATAAATTCAAAAGGAAAACATAATATTTCTTGTCAGTCCAGTTGAAATTAAACTCAATCGAGACAGCTAACGCCATCTAGTATTCAGTCTTGAATTCCATTCCAGCAACTGGTCCACAGATATTTTTACCGACGAGCCACTTGGCGAGTGAGAATCTGTGGCGTGACGAAGGAACTGAGGGTAGGAAACTGTTGCCGTCAGCCTGTTCATACAGTAGGATGACGTAGCGGTGCGGGCCTGAACCGCGAGGTGGCGCTGGTGACTTATACCCTAAAAGTTTAAGTTGTATACAGTACTTTTTTATTAAATAATTATGTTTGAACGTAAGTTTAAAGTGAGGTAGATAACAGAAAGGCATGAACACTTACCTCTGTAATCTATACCAACTGTTTTGCTACTCTCTTTAGCTTTCAATGCCAGGCCCTGAAAATTGAATACATTCAAGTTTTATTAGATAAGTAGTCACTTTTTAATTAACATTTTGATATTGAAGTAAAATTTACTTACCGGTATGTTAGATTTTACCATATGAAGATAAAACTCGCCATCTATCTGTGGTGGAGCATCTGGGTCAACCATGATCAAAGTGTAGAACTTTTTCTGAAACATAAAACTTTGATATTAACGATATTTTTTATAAATCGGTAAGTAAGCGGTAATTTACTACGTTACATTTTGTAGCTACGTATATTATAAAGCATATTAAATCAGTCTCACTAGGTACTTAAAAAAAGGTCGATCGTCAAATTACCGAATCAGCCAACGGGTACTGGAACAGCGGTTCCTCAAAGAACACTTGTTTCGGAAGAAGGACATCACAGTTATGGTCATTAACTATGGTGCCGCCGACGGTGGTTATATTCAACCCTGTAAGCCGCTCACAACCCTCGAGTAGACTCTTTACTTCAGTCACAGAACACTGAGGACTGGAGTACGCTACCCTCCACAAAAATACAATCCACAAACATTGTTTAATCATCCTCGAGGTCTTAACGGTAACTGAATTTTAACCGTTATAAGTATAGTAGTCACTATCCTATGTTGCTAAACTGACAACTGGCTGTTTTTAAACAAAACGGTAACAATGGTTGCGATAACATTGAAACAAGTGGGGATGTTATTACCTCAGTATTCAATAATAGTATGCAGAAGGTATGTCTGTAAAATGAGTTTTCAAGAGTGATCGCATCCAGCCCGTCTAGGCTAGGTAGCCACCTACATCTTTCTTAGATGTTATAATAAAAAACATTGGGTTTCCAGTACCTTTATATAGGTACATTTGCATCATTGATATCAATCGATTAGTCACCTATTGTTAACATTCAAGGTTTTGGTCAAGGACGTTGAATAACGTCCTTGATTTTGGCTTTGGCAAAAATTTATAAGAAGTTTAAGTTTAAATGAGGTAGGTGTCTACACTCCTACCTTTTTACCTAAGACCTTTTTACGCGGTTATGTCAGATTAAGCACTTTGTTATCATGTCATTTTTGGCCAAATTACAAAATATCTGCTACAAGTGCTAATAAAACAACTTTAGTTTAGGCAAAACCATGAATGTGACGAGGTAACCGGAGCTTTGTGTTTTATCTGCGATGCAATATTTTGACAAGCAGAACAGATTAGGAATACCTCAGTTAACAAGAGACCAGATGGCCCTTGAAATATCAGAACGACTGAGATGTGCAAAGTTGTGGTGCAACCGATTCTGGAAGATTTTATACAACCCTCGACTACGGTACAGAGCTAAGTTTCAGTTATACAAGGTCTTCGTTAGACCTATTCTCACATACGGTTGCGAAGTATGGAACTTGGACAAATATAATTGTAGAAAACTGCTACAGTTTGAAATCAGTATTCTATGCAAAATATATAAATCAAATCTTTCTCGAAGAGATCCTAACAGACTTAGGCTTAGTATCAGGACTGTGTATAATAATTACCGAACAAGCGACGTTGTAGAACATGTGATGAATGAAAGACTACGTTGGGATGCGTTATTAAAGAGCGAAGAAATAGCTTTGAGTAGACTATGCCGGAAGTCATGCCGGTCAGTGCGCTTTTGGAACGACCGTGACCCCCGTGAACCGAGGTGAACATTAAAAATGGGATTTAACTTTGCTAGTCATGATAATCCAAGAAATTGACATAAGAATGTGAAAAATCTCTAGGAGCTAACTGAATGACTCCCCAGGTTGAACTATTTAGGTACCTACTCCAATTTAACTGATACTGAATATTAGAAAAACAGTGAAAAACTACCTACGATAACAAATGAACTTTGTTTTCCAGTTGAAGAATGGGGTAAATAATTGTAATGATGGTGTGTCGATCAGTCCTACTCATTTATTGTGATAGGTAAGTGACACAGATGAATGACATACCTAAGTGAAAAACTAGAATAAAAAATCAATGAAAACATAGTTTGAAGTTGTTTTTTGGTGTCCCTAATTGGATGATCCCTAATCGGATGATCCCTAACGATCTTTTAGCGGGTAGAGGCCTATTCAACGTCTTTTTTTAAAGTCTATCTAAATAAGTCTGTACTTGCTTACTTTTAAATGATGATACTGATCCGCCATAACATTATTAACTTGTACCTAACTTACGCCCGAATACTGAAAGGCTACTCAATTTGGAATAGTACTTAAATATCGTGCCGTCTCTGTCTTTCTACAACGAATTTGTAGAGTAAGAACCAGGGCCGCGCCGCCCCTGTGTGCGAAGTGTGCGGCGCACACAGGCGCCAAGACAATAGGGGCGCCGTGTCGCGCCACCACCTCTACTTGAATTATTTTTGTTACCTTAATTATTATATTTTTGGTAGCAGAGTATCGATAAGTAAGTAGGTACAATAGGCGCAACATAGGCCTTGTATACAACAAAACTTATATTACGCTTATTAAACAAGTCTCTCAATATTTATGTTTATTATTAATCACGTTTATGGTTTCATTTTACACTTAGGGTTTTAGTTTACATTACTTACGAGTTACAAGATCAACGTTAAAACGGCGGCAGATCTTTTGAACCACAGATAAAGTAGGTACCTACTAGTTATATTGAATCATAAAGGCGCCGACTTTGTATGAGTAAGTATGAGTGAGTTTGTGAACGCAACCCGATGCGATGCGTGCGAGGCTATAGGAGTAGGGTCACAGGGATTCCCCGATTTTAACGAACGAGAGAGTCAAGCTAAAACAAAACAATTGAACAATCATTTGATTGAAAGTGTGTGTAAGGTGCGCATTGAACTTTTTACTGACTTTAAAAAAAGGAGGAGGTACGTATGTTCGGCTGATTGTTTTTTTTTTCAGTACTCCGCCATATGTGAACCGATTTCGAAAATTCTTGTTTTGTTTGAAAGGGTATACTCCCGAGATGGTCCCATTTCCATGAGGTCAGGATCTGATGATGGGACCCAAGGGAAACCAAGGGGAACTTTTGAAAATTCTATGGGCGAGTACTGCGTCTATTTTGTTTTTCAATTACGATTTTTAAACACTACAATTTGATAAGGGTCTGGATTTGACCTGATGATGGAGCCGACAGACAGTCGAGGGAACTCCTCAGCGGTTTATATTAATTACCTTGTGTTTGTACTAAATTAATCAAGCCCAAGCATAGGGTAGTTAATAAAAACAGCTGAGGAGTTCTCTCGATTGTTTGTCGGCTCCATCATCAGGTCGACTCCAGACCGTTATCAAATTGTAGTGTATAAAAATCGTAATTGAAAAACATAATAGACTCATTACTCGCCCCTAAAATTTTCGAAAGTTCTCCTCGGTTCCTCTCGGTTTCCCTAGGATCCCATCATCAGATTCTGAGTTCATGGAAATGGGACCATTTCGAGAGTATACCCTTTTAAACAAAATAAGATTTTTGGAAATCGGTGTACAAATGGCGGAGTAATGTGCGAACAAACAAAAAAAATCAATCAGCCGAACATAGCACCTCCTGCTTTTTTGAAGTCGGTAAAAAAGAGGCGCTCCATCGATTCCGCACACAGGCGCTGCCGGGGGTCGGCGCGGCCCTGGTAAGAACTATAGTTAAGCGCGACTTAACCTTGAGTAGCGTTTGAGTATTTGGAGTTTAGATACACACTTGTGTAAGTTGTAGTGTAAAAAGCATGTATACGGTCGAATTGAGAACCTCCTCCTTTTTTTGAAGTCGGTTAAAAAAAGGATGAGTTGAGACAATTAACATTAGGTACCTACCTATCTACAGTTATTTATAACAACTAAAATAAAAAGATATGTGTATTGACAATCTACCATTTCATGGCATCTTTAATTGAGAAAATTAGCATTTTTATAGCGAATTCTTTTTGTGCGACTTTCTTCCGTGTCTTCTTGAAGAAGCAGAATAAATGCTGGTAGTTAGATCTTGACAACTATGAAAACGATGTCGGCAGAAAATTCTCTTATCACTAGCTCTGGTGAAATAAAGAGTTGGATCAGCTGCAGTTTTTGATATTGTGTGTAACATTTTTCTGACAATTTTATAATGAGACCTTGTTGCTCGATTCCATTTTATAGCTTGCACCTTTAAATGTTCAGTCACATCCAAGTCCGTATAGCGTTTATACAGACACTTCTGTCTACATGTAACAAAAATGCGTTTTAGGGCCTGTACTTCTAAAGATTTTAATTGACACTTACATCCCTCGAACCAATTGTAAATCAATAGTGGTCTCATGAATATCTTGTATGCCAGAATCTTCTTGGACAACGACAAATTGGAACATTTTAAAATTTTATTCGTTTTAGCAATCCAGAATCTTTTTAAATTGCGAGTGTTGGTTGGCATGTCAGGGTTTTTAATTAAGCAATAGTTTTTACTTTATCTGTCATCGTTTAAATTTATACAACTAAACAACAACAATATTAAAATAATCGCACAAAAAATAACAAATTAGCAAAGTCAAACCAATAATAAATTGATAGTTTGCATTCTGTCCAAAGAGGCCAAAGAGTTAGGAAATTCTGTCATTAGGTATACATTTTGCAATACCATTCATGTTTTCAGCAAAAAGTATAAATATTAACCAAGGAAGCTTTTATTATTTGCCTCATACATACCGAATATTGTGTAAACTAATATTTATAATACAGAATAATGGAATATTTAAATGAATATTTAAATAGAAATCTGAATTTATTTGCTTCTTTCGTTAGTTTTGTTGGTGTTTCAATTCCCAATCTCTCGTAAATAAATTGACACTAGATAGGAGGTCAAAAACTTAGAGTGAAAACATTTATGTATCTTTAAAGGGCAACCTTAAAAAAAAAAACATTTTTTCATTTGACAGTGACAGTCAAAAGTCAAATGTCGCGGACATGGAGACTTTTTGACAATACTATCCATATCACTGTAGAATAATAAACAATAATCTGCAATACATTATAATTTCATGTAGAAATAACCACATCAAAATGGAATCACATCCACTTAATTTGGTAATTACTAATTTATGTTTACTGATGCTTTCGGTTAAATTTCACTTGACTGAAATATTTTTAACTTTGTCATCAGGCTCATCAACAACACCGTCGTGCTGAGGCCCATCTCGTCAACAATAGATACGATGAAGCAATGCAGTGCCATCACAATGCTGCGGAATTATTATTGGACGCTATGAAATCCACGACGTCATCAGTCACGCTAGAATCCATCACATTACAGCACAGTTACCACCTGAAGCAAAAGGATCTCATCAAAAGCAAGAAAGAACAATACGATAGAGTGAAAAAAGCCATAGATCACATCAAAGGTTTGAGCAAAGATCCCACCTACAATAATATATTAAGTAATGATAGTTCTAAAGTTCAAGTTGCTATATATAGAACAATAAGTGAAGCAGATTCTTTGTTATATAAATTAAAAAATCCAAATTCTGAACAAGGCCTTGTGAAAGACGCAATTGCTAAAGTGGATGTAGTGGATGGAAAGAAGATAGAGAAAGGAAAAGAAACAGTTATAGAAGAGTTACAGATATTGAATCAAAATTTACATTCCCTTGTAGAGCAATTGGTGTTGCAAGCTGAAGTACTGAAGGATGAAAACATGACGTTAAAAGAAAGAGTGAGTTACCTGGAAAAAGAGAGAGTCAAGTACCTGAACCTTCCAACTCAAAGTGATTTGTTACAACGAAACTTTTCAAATATCAGCGGAAATGAAGGTTTGACGAATGAGTTTATTCAGAAGATGCCGATCGCAAAGGAACCACATCATCGACCAGTTGTTCAACCTCATTTTGATCTAAGTGCACTTAAGGACTTATAGTTAAATAATGGACTGTTCAAACTGAGTTTTTAAAGAATAAATCAGGCACCAATGGATAATATTATCCAACACATAGTATTGTATTTGACTGGTTATAAAGCAATTGATACAAAGCTACAGGTATTGTATAAGGTGCTTTGTTCTCTATAGATTTTGTTTACTCATTTTAATTAAAATAAAATGTATTTTATTTCATTACTTTTGTTTTCGTAACAGTATTTTGTAAACATATTTTCTTTTTATAAAGAACCATGACATAAGTGCCAAAATCATCATGATAAATAGACGGAGGTAAAACAATTATTGTTTTACTACAAAATATTAAAGATTTTTTTTTTATTTGTGTCATGTACATGTATGTATGTATCTATATTTTTTATTGTCATGATCCTTTCATGTTGCGGTATTCTTTTGATTTTATTCATAAAAGCTTAATTAGACTTTAGGTAGTGTTATATACCTTGTGTTATATGTACATTATATTTTTTTGTTACATATGTATGTGTATATTATGTAGTAAAAGGAACATTCTATAAATAAAAACCAGATTTTTTCATTTTGTAGATATGTATTGCATATTGGTCTTACACAAAAATAAAATTTTACTCTTGTTTTAATGTAAAAATAAACTTCCCGGTTGATATACCGGGAATAACTATTCTTACTTCTATAAGGAATCTATACATTAACAAACAATAGAACTAATAACATGCCTATATTTTTGGTAACATGAATATTATACAGGATGTGCTACCAGTACTAATCTATTACTCATACATAGATTTTAATTTAGGTACATTTTTCTAGTTCATATCCTTATTTTCCAAAACCACGAATTGTTACTTCTAGATTCTAAAAAGCTCATTTTATTGTTTCTTTTACTGAAACAAATCTCTCATGTTTTAATATGTTGGTTACAATAATTATACTAACTGCCCTTACACGACAGTTGTGGCTTTAATCTGGAGTTACATTATCGCAACTCATTAATTTCATTAGTATAATATCATCTAATTTAACAGTATTTTTTTACTAAAGTACAATGGTTTAATACCATTTCTATAACATTAAAGGCATTTAGTGATGGATTGCTTTCATTTTATATTGATTAAGGTAAGTAGATTAGTTAAGACATGTACACATGTAACAACAAAATTACTGAGAAACATTGTTTTTCTATATAGCACAAGCGTTAAGAGAGCAATAAACATCATAAGTGACAAAATGAGGTTAATTACAGTAATGTTCTAGTGTTGAATTCATCAAAATTATGAAACTATAAAGCATGTGCCAATAGTGTTGTGAAGAAATCTTAAAGTAATGATAAGATTATAATATCTTATTATAAATAGGTATACATTGGGGATTAACAATATGTATATTTATTTCATTTGGCATTTCATAATCTGTATATTATTGTAAGAAATGATATACACAGAAGAATCTAGTCATAGAACAATTTCTTCTATAGCTCACAACAGACAGCTATGTATTTATCTGTTACGAATAGTGCTACTCGATCCTTAAATCTACAAAATAACCACCTATTTAGGCATAAATAAATAAACAGAACTTCAATTACTTTATCTTAAAGCATTTCGAGAAACACGACATGAATAGGCACTAAAATGGCAAATCACATGTTAGAAGTGAACAGTTGTCATTAATTAACTCACAACCACAATATATACATACATAAACCAATAATTCCATTAATGTTTTAGGCGTTTTTGAGTTTCATTAGATTAAATTAAAGTTACTTATTAATATGCATTAATTTAACTCAACCCTACAAACATTCATCACATGTAACATAAAAACACAAAATACGAAGAATTCATTCATTATCTTTAGAAAACGCAAGTTGTTTACTGTGTTTTAACAGAAAACGAGATTACTTCCTTTCTTATCTGTCGTTCATCAAAGATGCGTCAAATGTCTCATTCACAAGCCTTAATTATCTAGCCTTCAGCATTGAACTTATTAAGCTGTAATAATTAAAATAATAAATACTGTAGATTAAAACTAAAAATACATCAATATTTGGGAGATTTGAGAAGAAAATTGGATGAGTTTTAGAGACTCAAGGGGTGTATGGGGGTGGAGGTGGAAGTACTGAGAGGTCATCGAAGGGGAAGTATTGTTGTGAGCCGAGAACTGGAGGCGCGTAGGCGGGGTGAATGGTGGGCACGTACTCTGCGCTCGGCGTGTACGGTGGCAGGGTAGGCACGGCAGGTGTAGGGCCCACGCTGTGAGCCTCATATCCATCCCAGTCTTCCATTAAGTTCCGTCTCTGGACATCCTCGTCGCTTGACAGTGGAGCTCCCCATAGATTTGCAGCAGATGCTAACAAGGCCAATGCACCTGTAATGTTTAAATTATAAAATTAGATTTCAATTAAGCATTACTACCTACAAAACCTACTCTTAACTTATTTAAACTCCCTAAGGAATCTTAGTTGTGAATATAGTGTTTCTCTACCATATAAAAAATATCTTCAGCAATTTGTGACTCTTTAAACTCTTCGACTTAGTCAGTATGCAGCTTGGTCGTTTTATTATACACAATAATACAATAACTACTGTACAACAAAAAAGGAATGAACAATGGCAACTTTTTCACTTTACGCTCATGTGTAGAGTTCGTGAAGTTATTGCATAGTATAGTTAAAAATTTTGATTTTCCATGAGATCTGATATAACTTTTTGACAGTGCAAGTCTTATTTTATATGTTTTCGACTAATATTTCATTGGCCATACAAAAAGTGAAATTCGCATAAACATGTAACAATATTTATTACCTCAAATCACCATAAATTATGTCTATTAGATAGCTAAATACATTGTGTCCTTAGCTTAATTACACTTAAGTGACTAGTTGCGTCACAATGTTAGTCAACATTGTTGAACCCAAAATACTACTAGTCATATTACACAGTTGAATTACAATAACAAAAAACTTAAATGATGTAAATAATTATTACTTTATCATTTACGTAAGACCCATTATCCAATTAGTTAGTAATAATTAACAGGAAAACAAGTTATTATTGGAAGAACTTAAAGTTAGCGTCAGCAAATTTGATAAAAATATGGGCAAACCAAAATTTGGTACAGCTTAATAATAAGGTTTTCTATTAATGAAGTAGCTATGCAATGTTGATAAATGTTTCCTTAAATTGAGATTATTGACTATTGTAACTACTCAAAGGTTTTCCAAATTGAAATAAACAGAAATTCCCAATAACAAGTCACAATGATATGAAAAAAAAAACCCTCTATTTACCAATGCAACCAAACGAAATTTTAATAAACAAGATTATTTTTCCTTCCTATTAAATTTATTATAAAGGATGATATGAAACCTGTAAAAATAGGTTACATTACTTATAATTGCTTATGATATTAAAATTTAATGACACAAGCAATATTAATAATTTCTTTTTAATAAACAATAAGTATGTCACTCACCTGCTCCAGTTATAGTATAAAATCCGTATTCATAATCCACTTGGATGGTATTTGGGTCACTGTTGTTTGCATTTCCTAGTACAACAGTAGTATAGTAACATACACCGACAATAGCTATGACCCAAAATACACACATTATGCTCGGAATAGCATTCCTTCTTAACATTTTTATAGCTCGGCTGTTAAGGCTTGTAAGGTTGATCAGGGTTCCAATACAAGAACAAAGAAGCACCATAAAGCATAATAATATAAGGATCCTCATTAGAGTTATTGTCTCTGGCGTTGTGCAAGGAGGTAGACCTGGAAAATGTTTAAAAAACATTGTTCAAAACAAGTAACATATTTAAGTCAAAATATTTATTCATCAATTAGACCAATTAGATGTGTCTGCATTCTATTATCAGCTGTTGTACTCATTTTGCATTTTTTTTGGAGTAGTTATTGATGTTATTAAATTTGCCTTTCAATATAATTTATATAAATTAATTAATTATTAATAGTAATAACTATGCTATTTCCAATAAATGTGATCAGTGATAGCACTCATCACATTTTTTCTTGAATAATGGTTACAGGCATGACTGAACACAAGGCCTATTATTTACTTCCTGGAGTACACCAACTATGATTAGATATTTTGATTATTTTCATGTAATGGAAAAAACGAAAGGTATAAAAGGTAACTATTTGGGACAGAGATTTTACACAACTCCCCTTCTGCTAAACTGTGGTTGTATGGTATTTACTTTTATGAAGCCAAACTTACCGTTATAGTCATGTACATTTTGTAGTGGCTCAAATTCACTCTGTCTTATTGTAAGCTGTTCCTCATCATCATCATCATTGTCAAAAGAAAAAAATTGTGCTAAAGACAAGCTCTGAGTACAGTGCAATCCTTTGATCCTGAACCAACTGGGCTGAACTAGGGCAGCGCATGTCAGGAGAAATGTAGAAACATTGAAAAGAGCTGCAATTTTATTCAGTTCCTTATCTTTAAAAGGAAACGGCATTTTTAACCCTGAAACACACATAGCAACATGTTATTCTTAACATGGAATACACAACATAAGGAAAATGGCACAACAGCTACAAACTACTTGGATGTTTATTCAACACAAGGTAATAAATGTGTGTAACCAAAGATCATTACTTTTAACATTGCTGTAGCACCTGACTGCCTGATAAACGATGATTGACACATCTCAGCTTGTAAGAATGAGACAGTTAATACAGTTATGTTTATGCTATAAATAGTTTTACACCTCTGGGGAGGCGTATCTTCGAGGGAGGTCGACAAGCTGTTATTAACTTAGTTAATGTTATTCTACGCCAAATATGTTGCCTATATAATCGGTACCATGTCGTAATGCAAATACGTACGCAGCCTTTTAATAACATTAACTCAAGGAAAAGGTCATACACACGATGTATCGTAGAAAAACATGATAAGCGTAGTTATAGCAAACTCATTTATGAAATATCAGTCAATTGTAACTGAAGTAGTCGTTAACTTAATTGAATGGAAATAATACAGAAAAAGTAAAATTATCAACAAGATTGAACGTCATACCTCGGATCCACGATAAACACCCCATTATGTTGCACTTATCATTTGTACAAGACACCAAGGTAAACAATAGGCACGTTTGTATATTGTTGTTACTGATTATAATGTTTAGAAACCACGATTTACATGCGATAATACACAAAACGGTAGGCTTTTAATCTCCGCAAAATATTTTGACAGCTGGTGCTAAAGATGTAGAATATATCAAACAAAATGATGTCACATGAGAATCAAAATAATCGGACTTCTCTTCTACTCTCACGCAAATCGTATTGCACACCAGCGCCACTTGTTGCTAAAACCGTTTGACAGCCATCAAATCGTTCCGTTCTATGCACAGTATCTTGGCTACAATTTTAGTTTAATGTGTAAAGAAATCAGAAATAAAAAAATCATCAAACATGTATTATATATGTATAAAATTATTTGAATTTTATCAGTTAATATTCCTTTTCTTTTTTCAACGTCATTGATTATGCTCTCATTAAATATTATTCTTACATCAATCGATAGATGGCGGTGGTGGCTAGAGACGCGTATAATTTAAGATTAAGAGACTAACCCATCGCTTACACGATTTCATAATGAAATAAATGCGGTCCGCTATGAAAATAGCGATTTTATTCTACTAACGATAAAAGTTTCTATTATTATGTGAACCTCAAGGTGATCCTAATAAAACTGTTGACGGCAGTTAGCGCAGTGACTGGGCAACAGGCTGCTGTGCAACATGTCGTGAGTTCGGTCCCCTCACAGAACATCTGACTCTAGTACTACAACTGACGTTATTATATTATGATTTACATGATTACAGGCCCGGTGTAAGCGGGCGTGCAAAGCGTGCACAGCACGGGCGGATCATTGGGGGGGGGGGGGGGGGGGGGGGCAAATTGAGCGACTCATTACCTTCTATATTGTCATTGTCCAGAGTAAGCAGAAAGCTTACGAAATATTATCGCCGGGAAAAAATCCCACTCGACAAAAGCCATATTAGACTTATGACTATAATTAGATCGTCATCAGTTAAGAATAAGACTAAGATAATAACCAGGCAGAGAGTGACGTGTAGAGTGAAGAGAGAGACGTGTAGAGTGAAGAGAGAGGCGATATCTTTAAAGACAGAGTGTGCACTGGGACCCAAGTGTTTCGATCCTAAATGGCTCAAAGTTGCTCCCAAAGTCGCCCACTAGATTTGAGGGGGCCTCTGCCGCGGAAGCAGCCACACGACCTCATGCAGGGGTATTTAGATGAAGTGATGGCGCAAGGGTGTCCCACACCAAAGGCCATCTTCCAAGGCAGCAACGACATACCATCTGGTCTCTCGCCGTCATCACGTAACAAACTTTTTATTTTATATTTTATAAAAATTAGGTTCTAATACGGGTGGTACACCGGCTAAGGCAAGAGCGCGACGAATGTCGCTATTGTTTTCGAGGACGCTCGAAAGTGATCGATGACGCTCGATTGTTTTCGAGGACGTTAGATGGTTTTCCAGGACACTCAATTGTTTTTAAGGACGCTCGATAATTTTCGAGTAACTCTCATACGTGATCGAGTACGCTCGATAGCTTTCGAGGACGATCGATAGTTTTCAAGGACGCTCGAAAGTGATCGAAGATGGTTGATTGTTTTCGAGGACGCCCGACTGTTTTCGAAGACGCTCGAAAGTGATCGAGGACACTCGATTGTTTTCGAGGACGGTCGAAAGTAATCGAAGATGGTTGATTGTTTTCGAGGACGCCCGACTGTTTTCGAAGACGCTCGAAAGTGATCGAGGACGCTCGTTTGTTTTCGAGGACGCCCGATAGATTTCGAGGAAGCTCGACAGCGATCGAGGACGCTCAATTGTTTTCGAGGACACTCGATACTTTTCGAGGACGCTCGATTGTTTTCGAGGACGCTCGAAAGTGATCGAAGATGGTTGATTGATTTCGAGGACGCCCGACTGTTTTCGAAGACGCTCGAAAGTGATCGAGGACGCCCGAAAGTGATCGAGGACACTCGATTGTTTTCGAGGACGCCCGATAGATTTCGAGGATGCTCGATTGGTTTCGAGGACGCTCGGTTGGTTTCGAGACCACCCGACTGTTTCCGAGGACGCTCGAAAGTGATCGAGGACGCTCGATTGTTTTCGAGGACGCTCCATAGTTTTCGAGGACGCTCGAAAGCGATCGAGGACGCTCGATTGGTTTCGAGGACGCTCGATTGGTTTCGAGGACGCTCGAAAGTGATCGAGGACGCTCGATAGTTTTCGAGGACGTTCGAAAGTGATCGAGGACGCTCGATTGTTTTCGAGGACGCTCGATTGTTTTTGAGGACGTTCGAAAGTGATCGAGGACGCTCGAAAGTGATCGAGGATGCTCGATTGTTTTCGAGGACGCTCGATAGTTTTCGAGGACGCTCGATAGTTTTCGAGGACGCTCGAAAGTGATCGAGGACGCTCGATAGTTTTCGAGGACGTTCGAAAGTGATCGAGGACGCTCGATTGGTTTCGAAGACCCTCGAAAGTGATCGAGGACGCCCGATAGATTTCGAGGAAGCTCAAAAGCGATCGAGGACGCTCAATTGTTTTCGAGGACACTCGATAGTTTTCGAGGACGTTCGAAAGCGATCGAGGACGCTCAATTGTTTTGGAGGACACTCGATACTTTTCGAGGACGCTCGATTGTTTTCGAGGACGCTCGAAAGTGATCGAAGATGGTTGATTGATTTCGAGGACGCCCGACTGTTTTCGAAGACGCTCGAAAGTGATCGAGGACGCCCGAAAGTGATCGAGGACGCTCGATTGTTTTCGAGGACGCCCGATAGATTTCGAGGATGCTCGATTGGTTTCGAGGACGCTCGGTTGGTTTCGAGACCACCCGACTGTTTCCGAGGACGCTCGAAAGTGATCGAGGACGCTCGATTGTTTTCGAGGACGCTCCATAGTTTTCGAGGACGCTCGAAAGCGATCGAGGACGCTCGATTGGTTTCGAGGACGCTCGATTGGTTTCGAGGACGCTCGAAAGTGATCGAGGACGCTCGATAGTTTTCGAGGACGTTCGAAAGTGATCGAGGACGCTCGATTGTTTTCGAGGACGCTCGATTGTTTTTGAGGACGTTCGAAAGTGATCGAGGACGCTCGAAAGTGATCGAGGATGCTCGATTGTTTTCGAGGACGCTCGATAGTTTTCGAGGACGCTCGATAGTTTTCGAGGACGCTCGAAAGTGATCGAGGACGCTCGATAGTTTTCGAGGACGTTCGAAAGTGATCGAGGACGCTCGATTGGTTTCGAAGACCCTCGAAAGTGATCGAGGACGCCCGATAGATTTCGAGGAAGCTCAAAAGCGATCGAGGACGCTCAATTGTTTTCGAGGACACTCGATAGTTTTCGAGGACGTTCGAAAGCGATCGAGGACGCTCAATTGTTTTGGAGGACACTCGATAGTTTTCGAGGACGCTCGAAAGTGATCGAGGACGCTCGATTGTTTTCGAGGACGCCCGATAGATTTCGAGGAAGCTCGAAAGCGATTGAGGACGCTCAATTGTTTTCGAGGACACTCGATAGTTTTCGAGGACGATCGAAAGTGATCGAGGACGCTCGATTGTTTTCGAGGACGTTCGAAAGTGATCGAGGACGCTCGAAAGTGATTGAGGACGCTCGATAGTTTTCGAGGACGCTCGAAAGTGATCGAGGACGCTCGATAGTTTTCGAGAACGCTCGATTTTTTTCGAGGACGCTCGAAAGTGATCGAGGATGCTCGATTGTTTTCGAGGACGCTCGATAGTTTTCGAGGACGCTCGAAAGTGATCGAGGACGCTCGATTGGTTTCGAGGACGCTTGATAGTTTTCGAGGACGCTCGAAAGTGATCGAGAACGCTCGATTGGTTTAGAAGACGCTCGAAAGTGATCGAGGACGCTCGATAGTTTTCGAGGACGCTTGATAGTTTTTGAGGAAGCTGGAAAGTGATCGAGGACGCTCAATTATTTAAGAGGACGCTCGATTATTTAAGAGGACACTCGATAGATTTCGAGGACGCTGGATAGTTTCCGAGTAACTCTCGATTGTTTTGAAGGACGCTCGATTGGTTTCGAGGACGCCCGATAGTTTTCAAGTAATTCTCAAAAGTGATCGGGGACGCTCAATAGCTTTCAAGTAACTTTCGAAAGCGATCGAGAAGCTCGAATGTTGTCGAGGACACTCGATTGTTGTCGAGGACGCTCGATGGTTTTCGAAAACGCTCGCTTGAGCACTTTTGAAATTATCGAAATCTATATCATTTTCGAGAGATAGCAGGAGACGCATTGGGTGTAGTATAGTTTCGGAATGTCGGGATCTCCGGCCACCGTAAGCGTGAGTCTGCGGACGGCAAGCAAAGATAGCTCACCAGCTGACAAGTACCAGACTCGAACGTACGGCGCGTCGCGTAACATGCGGGCCTCAAAGAGCCATCAGACTACAATAGACGGGGCCCACGAGGTTTGTTGCCTTGCTGGAGGGTAGGCTGTCTTAAGCAAGTGTTGGAAGGAATAGGGTGGTTTTTAGTTAGTAAGAGTTGTAAGAGTCACTTCCTCAAGAGTCGAGAGAGACTCAAGAGACTGTAGGTACAGGTAATGTTTGTAAACGCACCAACGACACAGGAGAAAATTATAGTATTAGCACAGTGTTTTTTTTTAAATATGTACACTACTTATACCTAGGTACTTATTTTCTTAAATCATTTATTTGGAGATTGTCGGGTACCTCCTATGTAATTCGCGACGTTAAAGTAGATAGATAGGTAGGTATAGTACTACATACCTCTAGGTAATTACTTGAAAACCTTGTCAAGAGTGATTTGTCTCCTCGAGAATGTGCGCGTTGTTCCTATTAGGAAGGTAAGTCAATTAATGACCCTATAAACTTGTAATTGAGATCCAATTATCCAGTGTTGTAGAGTACGTAGGTAGGCCTACTTATGTGAAAATTATTCCACACCAAATTTTGAACTCAAGGGTGTAACTTCAGGAATATTTTGTGAAAGGAGTTAGGTAGAAAAAACAGATTCCAAGTGTAAGACATTCATAGGTAGTAAGTACTAAGGTGGTCGTGCAAAAATAGACGGAAAGCTCTCACACTGCCCCAGGCGTCCGCGACGGTGACATCGCTACACACAAAGAATGTGTATCTTTGTTGTTGGAACAAACGTTATACACTGTTAACTATGCATATAGTTTATTTACAAGTATCTCGGCTATGTGGGTCGACTTTAAAACGTTTCCTGAGCCCCCAGTCTGCCACGAGCCGTTTGCTCGCAAAGAATATTTGTATTCCGGAAAATATTGCCAGCCTAACACAACAAAAAGTGATAAATTAAATTTGAAAATTGTATTACCCAATTAATTACGGACAAAAAGGAACAATTAACTTTTGTGTAATTCATGAAAAATGTGGGTCCACAATGTTCTGGTTACCAAGTGACGTGAAAGGGAAATTAATTAGCGATAGGTACTTTTGCTAAACAATATTTTCGTGAGTTATAACAGCGCTATGAATGACGATTTGATTAATGTGGACTATTATTACGTCTACAATATAAGTTTAGATTACAATAATGTTTCATTACACAATACTTCGTTTGAGGACACAGTTTGTTATTCAATCAATTTTCTCTACAATTCAAGTGTTGGAATTGAAATAGCAGTTCCAGAATGGGAAGCGTTAACTACTATTGTAATGCTGTTCATTGTCATCACTGGGACTATTTTTGGCAATATTCTGGTTATACTTGGAGTTTTCACGTATAAACCTCTGAGGATAGTGCAAAACTTTTTCATTGTGTCTTTAGCAGCTGCTGATTTGGCAGTTGCAGTGTTGGTGATGCCTTTAAACGTGGCCTACATGACTTTGGGTCGCTGGTTGTGGGGTAAACAGCTATGCAAGATGTGGCTCACGTGTGATATTATGTCTTGCACTTCATCCATCCTGAACTTGTGTGCTATAGCACTCGACAGGTATTGGGCAATCACAGACCCTATTAACTACGCTAATAAAAGAACTTTGAAAAGGGTCGTGTATCAAATTATTGGAGTGTGGATTTTATCTATGATTATAAGTTCACCACCGATTCTGGGTTGGAATGATTGGCCGGATGAGTTCACAGCGGATACTCCCTGTCAGCTTACCTCAGAACCTGGATATGTTGTGTATTCCTCACTCGGCTCATTTTTCATACCACTCGTTATAATGACAATAGTATACATAAAAATCTACGTAGCTGCACGACAAAGATTAAGAAAACGAGTGCTTGTTACACGTATTCAGAATAAAAATCCAGTGTTGGTAGTACAGAGTCGGGAAGAGAGTCAAGAAAATAGAGAAGATTCAGAGAACGAATCGGATAGTGGTGGAAGTATAAAACGTTGTCAGAGGAAAGCTTTCACAGACATAAAGAAAAACTTCTTTGTGCCATTCCTTTTGTTGAATGATCCAGTATCTCGACAGACGATTGAAGCAAATATGAATCAAATACAAGCGGATGTGTCGCCGGGCAGCTGCGGTAGTTACAAGACTAAGGTCGTTGGTTCACTAAAGAAAATGAGCCACAAAAATAAAAAGCAAGGGAAACCGTTGTTGGCGAGTGTTAATAAAAGCGGGGACGTAGTAAACCAGTTCATTGAGCAGAAGCAAAAGATCTCGCTGTCTAAGGAAAGGCGCGCTGCCAGAACCCTGGGCATCATAATGGGTGTGTTCGTTATCTGTTGGCTACCATTTTTCCTTATGTATCTCATACTACCATTTTGCTCGTCCTGTTGTCCCAGCATGAGACTTATAAATGTTATCACATGGTTAGGGTACGCTAATTCTACAGTAAATCCTTTAATCTATACCATTTTCAATATTGAATTTAGGAAAGCTTTTAAGAAGTTACTAGGCATTAAATAAGTATCTAATTTGTTTTACAGTTACTTTAATAATAATAATTTTCTTATTAATATGTAATGAACTCTAGAAAACATTTTGTGGTCTAGAATTCAGAAGCGTAGTTGTAATAGCAGCCATGACAAGATCATATTAAAAATACTTGTAACGCTTGAAATATCACGTCTAAATGTTTTGTTACTAAAATCCAAACAATACTACTCTGACACAGTCTATTGTTCTAATATATATTTAAAATTAAATAGGGGTGAACAAAACAAGCTGTAGTGAGGTCAAGACTTGACAGAACATAAGCCTTGTTAACAATCCGGATGGTCCTTAACAACTGGCTTGAATTGAGTCAAGTGGTACGCTTCCTATGTAAATAACATAACATCATCACTCCTCTGTTCTTCGAAGGCACACGTGTACGGAATACTTTCTTAGTAACCAATTTTATCTGTTTGAAATGCAGCCATACTTACATTTTAGTGTAGAGTTTACACTGTAGATTTATTTTTAGATGTTGTATATTTTATTTAAGTACCTATAGTTAAGTCGTTTGTAGCTTTAAATACGGTATAAATAAAATTATTATTGGCTTTAGCAAGTATGTATCCACCTAATTTGATAAAGGTATATAGATACCTAAGAATTTATAAAAATGAAATACTTACTAATTGTTGGTCTTAAGTACCTACACAACATGAGTTAATTTTAATAGAAGCATCTATGTGTGCTAAAATTGTAGCAGATATTTTGTCTATTTTTATTTCAAAGCCTTTGGTATAATGGCTAGATAATAATAATAACTTGTCATGCATGATTCTGTAAAGAAGATGTTTTGCAAAATAAATTATTTACGTTAACTCTCACCTATCTACTATTGTTATATATGTTTCTAATTGAACTACGTAAGATAATTATGTAAATTCTACAACGGTGACATAGTGTGAACTTGTGAAGTAATTAACGCTATCAATCACGTAACCTATTCTGGCGCATCACTTGCTAGAGACATTCGCTTGATGAATTGCTCTTGATTCAATACTCTGTGGTAATTATCTATGATTCCAACCAGGGATTTGTTATCTGTGGAACTTTTTTTCTCGTACGTAATAATCAAGGAATCTAGTGTATCTTTATAATTAATCATAGCTTTAATAATATTTGTTTTGTTGATTTTATTACGTAAGTATGTATGTTATTTCGGTTACTTAGATGTACCTACATACAATAAATTTGCTCCAGCGATTACTAATAAATAAGTAACTAAGTAAATTATTATGTTTTCGGCTTACTCACGTAGTAATTTGACGAGGAACTCGACTAGTTTCAAGCCATGCTAGAGGCTTATATTCATGAGCAGCATATCACAACCCGCGACGCGGCAACTGTCGCGCTGTTACTGGAAACAAGTCGAGTTCCTCGTCAAATTACTACGTGAGTACCTAAGCCGAAAACATAATAATTTGTTAGTATATCTCACAAAAGTTACAATATAAATAAGTAACTAATTTATTTACACTATAAAGTGCTGTCTTCGTTTGCATTTACTTTTGTATGAGATAAAACTTCGTGTGTAGAGGTAGAGTTTGCAGTAAATTCGTACCTATACTTAGATACTAAGAAAATTCATTTAATTTGAGACGACAAGAGTATAATCAGTACTTACTTTAACAAGAAAACAAGACTTGTTTCTGAGAAAATTACTTTGATTGTAAAAACCACGAAGATGCTTCTTCTCTTATTTAGAATTGTGTGTAAGTAGATAAGACGCTTGTGGTTTCTGTCTACCATTATGTCTCATGAGAAAAAGGGATTATCTGTATTACATATAAGAATTTTCATATTATGTTAGGTAGAGAAATTATGAGAATATTGATTTAATTATTCCGTAACGTAACAGGAATTAATAATAACGAATTAAATATATTGAGAAAATCATTATTACTGTCTGTCCATGAGGAAGAGTCCCCATGTGACTTGAAAGTGCTTGAGCTTTTCTTATTATTTACGTGAATCATTCACGGCTTTTTTATTATTATTTTGTATATCTCACGATAATTATTAAGTATACAAATATATACAAATTAATATTAATTAATAATATTTGTTATTATTGTAAATATATCATTCGTATTGTTTGTTAGTTTTATTCACTGTTATTCTATTTTACTACTTTAATGACTTATATACTAGCCTCGATACATAATTACAAATAAACAGTACTTTAAATAAATATTGGCAATAAATATTTGCACTTATAGTGTGTTTATTGGTTTTTTAATCTATGCTATTCCGCTCCAATACCTACTCGAATCTTTTATTTTAACATTCACGCTAGTCATAAAAGCGGGTTTACATGAGACCAGAGAATTAAATCGTGTGGAAACGTACATCTTACTTTGTTGTCACTTCCAGTGGTTCATTGATCTATCTGTTTGGCTTTAATAAATAGTACCTACCATTTTTTTACCTCAAGGTGAAAATTCTCATGGAGTCCCCTCGCCTGGGTAGGACGAAGGCGACTGAGAGACTCTTGCCTTTTTACATACTGACTAAAGTCACCCTTCTTTTTAAGGGCGGAAAGTCATCGAATGACTGCTCCCGCCTGGGTGAGGCGAGAGGGAGTGTCAGACTCTTACTGACTAACAATCACCCCGTTCCTTCTCCTGCGCTTCGAGCTGGAGCCCCGGTAACCCGTTACGTTCTCCGCAACTCCGAATCGGCATCAGCCGTATTGGGCCCCATCCGTGGTGGTCTGATGGCTCTTTGAGGTCGGACGGGGAGACCCATGCTCGCCGTCCGCAGGCCCGTGCTTACGGTGGCCGGAGATCGTGACTACTAAGTCACCCTAGTGTCCATACCTACCACCCTAAAACATAGTTCAAACAACTAGATATTTTGTAAAACATAATTAACAGTTTTTTATTTAAATAAAGTTCGGTTGCAAAATACATAAAGAATGTGAAAGATTTGTAAAACGTAGAAGAGATCACATATGTGCAGAAGTATAGATAGATGAATAATTATATCTACCTATCTGAACTGAAAGCACTTCAAGTAATCGTTACTTATATTATAAATTGGAAAGTGAGTTTGTTTGTTTGTTCCACTTTTAATGCCGTAACTACTAAACCGATTGCTTTGAAATTTTGCAGACTTATCTAAAGTTACAAGTCCGGATTAAATAATAGGGTACTTTTTATCCCTGAAAATATTCCCGAGGGAAATCAAAAGTATTGGTGTAGAAGGCGCTGCGTGTATTGGTATATGTCACATTGGCTTTTTATCCTTTTGTGACGCGAGCGAAGCCGCGGGTAAAAGCTAGTGTCTTAATATTAATGTTCCTATGAACAGAAGCCAATACATCTATAACTATAAATAACAGTGCTACCTCACAGATGTTTGTGTGCACCTAGGGGCAAATGTTTCTGGTGTCGAATGCATACTAATGTCCCGTCGGGATTGCATTGGGATTGGGCGGTAACCAGACACTATGTCTTTTGCACTAGCTTGTGTATTTGGCACACAATTCTGCCTGTTTAGTACTACTGAGTTAAAACAGGTTTTTGTTCTCTCTCCCCTGCAAGGAAATTTATCTATTGTAGTCAATGAGAAATTGGAACGCTTTTTACTTTATCACAGTTGTGTTTTTTTAATAATATTTTCTTTTAAGTAAATTGCCTAGGTATCTACTAAAGGTATTTTAAGTACCGATTAAAGCATCAAATAACTGGAAAACAAAATATTATCAGAAGTTTAATAAAATGTAAAGAATGTTTGTTGGAAAATTTAAACCTACAATATAGATGTACAATAACGTTTCATTTTACTTTACTATTTTACAGAGGTGCACATTACGGCACTTAATGCCACTGTACTATTCACTATTTATGTTACGAGTCCCATGTAGTGGGGGGTGAGCCTATTGCCATATACCGGGCACAAATCCAGACTCCGTGCCACTACTTAGATCTTTTTGAAAAACCCAGTAATACCTACTTTGCCCGACCCGGGAATCGAACTCGAGACCCATTGCCCGTCAGTCGCACTTGTGACCATTTGTGAAGGCGTTATGTTTTAATGTTTTATAATACTAATCTTCACGTTTGATTCGCTAGTTGGAGATCGCAGTCAAAAGGTTCAGGTTTATAAGAGTGTACCAGGTACCTGGTAAAGTTCCATATCATTTCTTTTCTTAGCATAACTGGAGAAAAGTGGTTGTCACATTTAATAAGAGCGCCTACCTCTTGGGAACATTCATGTGCGTAAATTCGCTAGTGGAGCGCGTCATTTCCACTTAGAAGAACACCTCCTATCATAAAAAGTAACTTATTCTGATTTATTATGTATTCTCAAGGCTCTAACTTAGTTTCTGAGCCCTTCCTTCTACACGTACCTATGTTATATTAATGTCAGCACGAGATTTGAAGTTGACGGCTCCCGTGAGGGTACTTAACCTCGTTGAGGTCACTGACCTACTATTAACTCGTCGAGTACCGGTTTTATAGACACAATTAAAGAACAATAGGTCGCGGTCACCGGTGACCGCTTGGTGTTTGACAGTTTAAATAAACTATCGTGATAATTATTTAAGTATTTCATACTATGAAAAACACCTACCTATCACTTTTTTATTTTTTTTAAGAGTGGAAAATCATCACTGTGCCTCACTTATAGGCGAAATACCTTAATTTGGACCTATAATTTTTAACTGCCAATCCACTTTTAGTAGAAGTGGTGATTAATGCTCTATCTTCTCCGGAGAAGAGAAGTTTTTGATCAGCAGTAGGCAATTATAGGCCATAGGCTGATGATGATGTTGATAAGTAGGAATACTGTCGATGATGACATTGGGTCTATTATTTTGTCCTCTATCCGCCATTTTGTCCTTCAAAAGGCAATCTGATAAAATTATCTTTTTCCTCAAATTTTCTTACAATAATTTGTACTATTACGTAATTTTGAACAGATCTAGACAAGTTTGTTTTAGAAATTATTTTAGTTTAGGTATATCT